CAGGTCTACCCATGCAATGGGAAGCGGTGGGTAGACCTGGCCTCCGGAGGCCAAGTCTACCCATGCAATAGGAAGGAGTGAGTAGACCTGGTCTCCTCCGGAGGCCAGGTCTACCCCTGCAATTGGAAGGGGCGGGTACACCTGGCCTCCGGAGGCCAGGTCTAGCAATGTAGTGGGAAGGGGTGGGTAGAAGTGGACTCTGGAGGAGGGGGGTGCGCTCCAGGGCAGGGGGAGGGGAAGATTGAGCCAGGGGGTGGAGGAGGGGTGGAGGAGACGGGGAACCGGCGGGATAGGGGGGGAACTTACCTCCTCCTCCTGCTTCCTCCTCTTCCTAATAGGCGTGGAGGTCCCCCTCTCCCGCGAGTATCGCGGGTCCCCCCCTTGTGCTTATCTAATTCCCTCTTGAAGCCGTCCACACTTGTAGCCGCCGCCACCTCCTGTGGCAGTGAATTCCACGTGTTAATCACTCTCTGGGTGAAGAAGAGCCAGTTTGGTGTAGTGGTGAAGTGCGCGGACTCTAATCTGGGAGAACTGGGTTTGATTCCGCACTCCGCCACTTGCATCTGGCTGGATGACCTTGTGCAAGCCATAGCTCTGTCAGAGCTGTTCTGTCAAGAGCAGTCCTCGAGAGAGCTCTCTCAGCCCCACCTACCTCACAGGGCGTGTCTGTTGTGGGGAGGGGAAGCGGTTTGTAAGTCGCTCTGAGACTCCCTTCGGTAGTGAAGAGCGGGGTATAAATCCAATCTCTTCTCTTCTCCTTTTATCTGTTCTAACCCGACTGCTCAGAAATTTCATGGAGCGCCCACGAGTTCTTGTATTGTGAGAAAGGGAGAAAAGTACCTCTTTCTCAACCTGCTCTATCCCATGCATAATCTTGTAAACCTTGATCATGTCACTTCTCAGCCGTCGTTATCTCCAAGCTAAAGAGCCCCAAGCGCTTCAATCTTTCTTCATAGGAAAAGTGTTCCAACCCTTTGATCATCTGAATTGCCCTTTTCTGCACTTTCCCCCAATTCTATGATATCCTTTTTGAGGTGTGGTGACCAGAACTGTACACAGTCCTCCAAATGAGGTTGCACCATCGATTTATACAGGGGCATTAGGATACCGGCTGATTTGTTTTCAATTCAATTGTGCCTAAGAGAAGACCTCATATTTCTACAGAAGTGACGTCATCCTGAATGTACTGTTGAGCTTCAAAAAGCTGTATCTTTGTTAATGAATCATTCTAAAAATACTTCAAAAATTCACACCTAGCAGAATATAAAAACAGAAAAAAATTGTAAAATTATACATGGTGATTTAGTGTTTTACCTTGTCTACTTCTGGTTCTTTTAATTGGAGATGCTGCCAGGGATTGAACCTGGGACTTTCTGCACGCCAAGCAGAGGCTCTGCCACTGAGCCACAGCCCCTCTTTACAGCTCTCCAGGGTCTCAGGCGGAGGTCTTTCCCATCACCTCCTGCCTGGTCCTTTGAACTGGAGATGCCGGGGATTGAACCTGGGACCTTCTGTATGCCAAGCAGAGGCTCTTCCACTGAGCCACAGCCCCTCGTTACAGCTCTCCAGGGTCTCAGGCGGAGGTCTTTCCCATCACCTCCTGCCTGGTCCTTTGAACTGGAGATGCCGGGGATTGAACCTGGGACCTTCTGTATGCCAAGCAGAGGCTCTTCCACTGAGCCACAGCCCCTCGTTACAGCTCTCCAGGGTCTCAGGCGGAGGTCTTTCCCATCACCTCCTGCCTGGTCCTTTGAACTGGAGATGCCGGGGATTGAACCTGGGACCTTCTGTATGCCAAGCAGAGGCTCTTCCACTGAGCCACAGCCCCTCGTTACAGCTCTCCAGGGTCTCAGGCGGAGGTTTTTCCCATCACCTCCTGCCTTTTTCCCATCACCTCCTCCCATCTCCTTTTAACTGGAGATACCGGGGATTGAACCTGGGACCTTCTGCATGCCAAGCAGAGGCTCTCCCACTGAGCCACAGCCCCTCTTTACAGCTCTCCAGGGTCTCAGGTTGGGGTCTTTCCCATCACCTCCTGCCTGGTATAGATAGAACACGCTGTCTGGGGCAAGTGATGCTCTGTCTTCCTGGTGCTTGGGGGGGGGGCGCAATGGGAGGAGGGCTTCTGGAGTTCTGGCCCCGCTGGTGGACCTCCTGATGGCACCTGGGTTTTGGCCACTGTGTGACACAGAGTGTTGGGCTGGATGGGCCACTGGCTTGATCCAACATTGGCTTCTCTCTTCTGTTCTTATGTCTGGGTCAGTGATGCTCTGTCTGCTTGGTGCTTGGAAGGGTCCACAGTGGGAGGGCTTCTGAAGTTCTGGGCCTGCTGGTGGCACCTGGTGTTTTTAGCCAGTGTGACACAGAGTGTTGGACTGGAATGGGCCATGGGCCTGATCCAACATTGGCTGCTCTTATGTTCTTATGTCTTGGGCAGGGATACTCTCTGTTCTTGGTGCTTGGGGGGGAGCAAGAGTGGGAGGGTTTCTGGATTGCTGGCGCCCCTGGTGGACCTCCTGATGGCCCCTGGGTTTTGGCCACTGTGTGACACAGAGTGTTGGGCTGGATGGGCCACTGGCTTGATCCAACACGACTTATCTTATGTTCTTATGTCTGGGACAAGTGATGCTCTGTATCCTTGGTGCTTGGGGGGGGCACAGTGGGAGGGCTTCTGGAGTTCTAGCCCTGCTGGTGGACCTCGTGATGGCCCCTGGATTTTGGCCACTGTGTGACCCAGAGTGTTGGACTGGAATGGGCCTTTGGCCTGATCCAACATGGCTTCTCTTCTGTTCTTCAGCTGCCTCCAGGCCGCAGTTGAGGTGGCTGGGCGGGAGACCCCACCCTGATAAGCCACCCGCCCGAGATAACAAACACGGCCAAGCGGCTCTTACCTTCCGTCACCACGTTGGGGTCCCTGGAGTGCTTGCAGGTGATGATCTTCTCCACCAGCTGGTTGTAGCTGAGCTTGCCGATGGCCTCGGCCACGTCTGCCAACTGGGGAGAGACAATATGCAGTAAACAAATGCAGGATAGAGGATGTGGCTAGGGCTACAAAGCATTTGAGACATTTGGGTGGAGCAGAAAAACACTGGGAGCAGTTACACGACAAAACAACACTTTTTTGGTAAAAGCTAAGCCTTGCCGCATCAGAACAAAGGAAGACATATGATTAATTGCAAGACGGAGCTCTTTCGCCAGGCCTTTGCACAGGAGCCGCCGCCATCATTGTGCCACCACCGAGCTGCCATCTTCGATGGTGGATTAAGAACATAAGAACATAAGAGATGCCAATGTTGGATCAGGCCAAAGGCCCATCCAGTCCAACACTCTGGGTCACACAGTGGCCATAAGTGAGACGGCCCTGGGAAGACGCCTAGATGACCGATGAACTTATGTTGCCAGGTTAGGTTGACAAATGGAACCCATCTTGGACGACTGAGGGGTGACATGATTGAGGTTTATAAGATTATGCATGGGACAGAGCAGGTAGAGAGAGAGGTACTTTTCTCCCTTTCTCACAAGACAAGAACTCGTGGGCACTCCATGAAATTGCTGAGCGGTCGGGTTAGAACGGATAAAAGGAAGTCCTTCTTCACCCAAAGAGTGATGAACACATGGAATTCACTGCCACAGGAGATGGTGGCAGCTACAAGCATGGATGACTTCAAAAGGGAATTAGATAAATATCTGCTTGGCTGGTTCAGCCCTTCTGAGAGGTCATTACAGTGAAACCTTATTTTTTTTAAAAAAAAAATTCTGCTAAAACAAGCCCAGCAGCAAAAAGAACTGTCCAGACGGGAATCTCTCTGGTTACCCATGGAAGAAGAGTTGGTTTTTATTCCGTGCTTTTCACTACCCAAAGGAGTCTCAGAGTGGCTTACAATCCCCTTCCTTTCTTCTCCCCACAACAGACACCCTTCTAGTGTCCAGGCCCCACTGCTGGACCTCCTGATGGCACCTGGTATTTCTGGCCACTGTGTGACACAGAGTGTTGGACTGGAGGGGCCTTTGGCCTGATCCAACATTGGCGTCTCTTATGTTCTTATGTTCTTAAGAAGACTTAACATCAAGAGCACCATACTTTATTTAATGAGTGTTTTTATGCTGTTTTAACTGTTTGTTATGGCATTTGCCTCTGTTGTTAGCCGCCCTGAGCCCATTTGGGGAGGGCGGGATATAAATCTAATAAATAAAAAAATAAATATAAAAAATATCGGAAACACGTTCTTCGTTTGAGTTCTGGACTGCAACAGGAGCGACGGTCTGCAGCGTGGGGCCGAGAGACTCTAGCTCAGGGGTCCCCGGCCCTGTTGAGCCTGTAGGCACATTTGGCATTCCTAAAATCCTGACACGGCACGGTGGGGGCAGCAACAAAACAGCTGCCACAAAACGGCCGCCACGGGAGGCGGAGCCAGCTACAAGGTGAGTGCCACGGCTTAGATTCAGTCGCGCAGTGTCGATTCTTGTGCTGTGGGGGCAGCTGCCGCCAAAGCGACATTTTTAAAAAAATCTGCACAGCCAAACAAATCTCCAGTGGCCAATCGGAAGCCTTCTTGGGCAAAAGGGCTACAGGGACCCAACCAGGGCTTTTTTTTGTAGAAAAAGCCCAGCAGGAACTCATTAGCATAATAGACCACACCCAACAGCAGAAACTCATTAGCATATTAGGCCACACCCATGACAATACAGCTCATTAGCCTATTAGGCCGCACCCCCATGTTACCTGAAGTGTGCTCATCCAGCCACACCCACCTTTTGCTTCTTATTCTGTTTACCTTGTTTGTTGTCAAAACCCAGGGCTTTTTTTGTAGCAGGAACCCCTTTGCATGTTAGGCCACACACCCCAAATGTAGCCAATCCTAATGAGTTCCTGCTGTTGGGTGTGGCCTATTATGCTAATGAGTTCCTGCTGGGCGTGGCCAACTCGGGAGCCAGCCGGAACTCCGTTCCTGTGCGTTCCTGCCCAAAAATAGCCCTGGCCCCAACCACTTTCTTAAAAGCACTCGGTGGGCACTGGGAAAAGTGACAGTGAGCTGCACGGTGCCCACGGGCACGGCGTTGGGGACCCCCGTACTTGGCTTCTTTCAGTCCAGATCCCCCACCTGGAGGTCGGCAACCTTAGTTTATATTTGAGGGGATACAAATTAGCTCTGAAGAGATCCAAATTCTCCCACTTTGCTGCCCGTCTCCGATGCTGAACTGTCTTCCCCGACTAACGCTCAAAGACAGACTGCTTCAGGCAGTTGTGCAACCTCAGGATACTACCTCCGGATTCCAAAACAGTAGGAATGGTCTACTCTAAAATTCCTCTGTGTCCAGAAACAATGCTCCGTCTAAGCAGTGGAGGCGCGTGAGCAAAAATCCTACTTTGTGAGTTACGGGCATTAAAGTTGTGAGCGCGCGATCTAGCCGTGGCATAAATGAGTCTCCGCTTCCTGAGCGGAGACGAAAACGTGTGCGCCGGAGGCTAAAAAAGCCGTGAGCTGGCTCACACTGATTCAGCTTAGAGGGGACACTGCTCTGGAGCCCTCCTTCCTGAGCGAAGGCAAAAATGGGTGAGCTGGAGGCTAAAAAACTGCGAGCTGGCTCACACTGACTCAGCTGTGAGGGAACACTGCTCTGGAGCCCTCCTTCCTGAGCGAAGACAAAAACGGGTGCGCTGGAGGCTACAAAGCCGTGAGCTGGCTCACACTCACTCAGCTTAGAGGGAACACCGTCCGGGAAGGTTAGAAACTTGCTCTTTTAAAGAAGAAGAAGAAGGGAAAGCTGGCCCTGACACGGATAGCCCAGGCTAGCCCGATCTCGTCAGATCTTTGGAAGCTAAGCAGGGTTAGCTGTGGTCAGTATTTGGATGGGAGACCCCCTCCAAGGAAGCCCAGGGTTGCTATGCAGAGGCAGGCAATGGCAGACCACCTCTGCATGCCGCATGCCTCGAAAAGCCTGCAGGGTTGCCGTAAGTTGGCTGCGCTTTGACGGCAAGAAAAGGGGGGGAGGATTAGAGATGTGAAGGCCTGGGGAAAAACCGGAAAAAATCGGGGGGAAAACGTTTTTCCCGGGTTTTTTCCTTGAAGCCTTTTTGTTTTTTTTCCGAAAAATTGGGGGAAAAATGAAAAAAGAAAAGAAAAAAAAATTGATTCTGGAACGTTTTCTTTTAATATGAGGAATAAAATATTTTAAGACCAGGTGTTCAAATATTTTCCAAATAATTTTTAATATATATATGTGTGTGTGTGTGTGTGTGTGTGTGTGTGTGTGTGTGTGTGTGTGTGTGTATATATATATGGTATCAGATTGATCTAATTTCTGTGCTCTGAGGACAAGCAAGTCCTAGGTTACAAACTGAACTCTCCAATGCAAGAACAAGATGCATTTCTTCCTTTAGGAGGTGCGATTGTCAGAAGAAAATAAAAAAGTTTCAGTTTTGTTTTTGCATGTGGGTGGGTATTCTGTAATAATTGTTTGGATACACTATATTTTTAATATGCTAGTTGTGATAATTTCATGCCAAGTAAGAATTTCCATAGTCATATTTTATGTTCCTAAAGTAACAGAATGACTTTCAAACTAGAAAAGACAAAAGAAATGCTAATGTAGCATTTTTTTCAATTTTTCCAAAAATTTCCATTTCCCCCCCCCAAAAAAACGGAAAAAACCCGGGTTTTTTCCCAAGTTTCAAAATTTCTGGAAATTTTACATCTCTAGGGAGGATTGAGACCTTCTCCACCCCAAGCTAGTTGCAATTCAATTTGTAAGCAGCCAGGGGGCGGCCTTGAACAGCAGGCATCTAGAAGCTCGGTCTCAGCTTGGTGGATTACTAGCCACACGTGCAGTGCTAAGCAGTTCCACCGACCAAGCCCAGAATCCTCTAGGACGCCCACGTGCCCCCTGCTTACAGTTGCCAGCCCCGATTCCCGCATCACGCAGGGGAAAGTCGGAAACACTTACTTGCGGGTCCACCAGCCAGCCGTGATAAAGGGGCACGTTGAGGAGGTCAAAGACGATGCACTCGGGGGTGTACTCGAAATCGGAGACTCCCGTAAACCTCACGTTCACATCCAGCCCTGTGGAGAGTTTGGGGAGGACCGTCATGGCGTCGTTGACATTCTGGGGGTGGGGGAGGAGAGAAGAAGAGCAGAGCAAATAAATGATTTGGATGAAGGGGTAGAGGGAATGCTTATTAAATCTGCAGATGATACCAAATTGGGAGGGGCAGCAAATACAGTAGAAGACAGAGTCAGGATACAGGATGATCTTCACAGGCTGGAAAACGGGGCTAAAATAAATTTAATGAATTTCAATGCGGATAAATGTAAAGTTCTGCATTTAGGTAGGAAAATTCAAATGCATAATTATAGGATGGGGGAGACTTGTCTTGGCAGTAGTATGTCTAGGGGTCTTAGTAGGCCATACACTGAGCATGAGCCGACAGGGTGATGCGGTTGCTAAAAGGCAAATGCGATTTTGGGCTGTGTCAACAGAAGTATAGTGTCCAGATCACGCAAAGTGATGGTACCCCTTCACTCTGCTCTGGTTAGACCTCACGTGGAGTATTGTATTCAGTTTTGGGCACCACAATTTAAGAAGGATATAGACAAGGTGGAATGTGTCCAGGGGAGAGCAACGAAGGTGGTGAAGGGTCTGGAGACCAAGTCCTGTGAGGAAAGGTTGAAAGAGCTGGGTATGTTTAGCCTGGAGAGGAGACGACTGAGAGGGGATATGATCACCATCTTCGAGTCCCTTAAGGGCTGTCATCTAGAGGATGGGGCGGAGTTGTTTTCTGTTGCCCCAGAAGGTCCGACCAGAACCAACGGGTTAAAATGAAATGAGAAGACTTTTGGCTAAACGTGAGGAAGAACTTCCTGACAGAGCAGTTCCTCAGTGGAACAGGCTTCCTCGGGAGGTGGTGGGCTCTCCTTCTTGTGGAGGTTTTCAAGCAGAGGCTAGATGGCCCCATCTGACAGCAACGCGGATTCTGTGAACTTGGGCAGATCATGAGAGGGAGGGCAGGAAGGGTTGCCTCAGTGCTTAGTTCTCGTGGCCCTTTCTGACACGCCCAGAGAAATGCCGATTGCTACTTTGGGGTCAGGAAGCCATTTTTCTCCAGGCCAGTTTGGCTGAAGATCCTGGAGGTTTTTTGTCATCTTCTGGGTATGGAACAGGGGTCATTGGGGGTGTGGGGGGAGGCATTTGTGAATTTCCTGCATTGTGCAGGGGGCTGGACTAGAGGACCGGCGGTCCAACATTTTTGGGGCTCCATCAGTTGGACCCTCTAAATCCAGAGATCCCCTCCAAATTTGGTGCCTCTAGAATGACATGTGTAGGGGGCATTCTATTGGGTCACGAACCTCACCAGTTCGTTTGGCGGCTAAACGTTTATGATGGTTCGTGGTTCACGAATCAGGCACACCACGAACCGTGTACAAAACCGAGCCGTATCTTCCCAGTTACTGCCTATCCATAGCAAACTGTTTATTTATTTATTGTTTTAAATTTTCATTATGTATGGTTTTCTTCAGGGGTCATTTAGCAGAAAAAGAGGTGCAGGAGCTCATTAGCATAAGTCATTAGCATGACTCATTTGCATAGGCCACACACCCCGACATCACCGGAAGTGTATCAGAAGGCAACACCCACTGCTCAGGCTCCACTGGACTGTTTTGGATTCCTAGCTATTGGGGGGGGGGGGGTGGCGGACTCTCCCTCGCAGAGGAGGGAGAGCTTGTACCTGAATAAAACTTGGCCTTAAAGGTGCCACTGGACTGTTTTAGATTGCTAGCTATGGGGGGGGGGGAACGCGCAGATCTGCCCTCACAGAGGAGGGAGAGCTTGTACCTGAAGGCAGGCAGGGGGGTGGGCTCTGCAACATACCTGGCTGCTTCTTACTCCTCATGGCCTGTCTGAGGGCTGCTGGGAGCAGGGGGTGGGGCTTGTTGCATGTGCCTGCCCCCTGAGCTCCTTACTGCCGGAGCTCCGCTCCTGTGTGCTCCCGCAGGAAATGACCCCTGGTTTTGTTCCCCCACCCCTGCCCCCATTCGCAGCTTTGAACTGTGGAGAGGCGGGAGAGAAACAAGCTTAATCAATCTATCAATCAAATGAACAAACTCAGAACCGACCGACCTGTTGAAAATTGAGCTGGAGAACTTCCGACTCCTTTTGGGGCTTGATGGATAAGACGCAGTCCCCTTTTGAGACAAAACAAACAAAGACGGACAAAAAGAGAGAGAAAGAATCCCACATCCTTCTTCATTAGCACGTTTTGGAGAAACAACGGACCTGGTATGCAAAATTCTATGCAGAGGGCTTCTGTTCAGCCAAGGGTCAAGAATCCCAGGAATTGGACGTGGGGTTTTTGAAGAACATCAGAAGAGCCCTGCTGGGTCAGACCAGGGAGGGTCCCTCTAGTCCAGCATCCTGCCTCACACAGAGGCCAACCAGTTCCTCTGGAGGGTCAACAAACAGGGCAGAGAGGCCGAGGCCTTCCCCTGAGAAGAACATCAGACGAGCCCTGCTGGGTCAGACCAGTGAGGGTCCATCTAGTCCAGCCTCCTCTCTCACACAGGGGCCAACCAGTTCCTCTGGAGGGCCAACAACAGGGCAGAGAGGCTGAGACCTTCCCCTGAGAAGAACATCAGAAGAGCCCTGCTTGATCAGACCAGTGGGCCATCTAGTCCAGCATCCTGCCTCACACAGTGGCCATAGAGGCTGAGGCCTTCATACGAACATAAGAGCCCTGCTGGGTCAGACCAGTGAGGCTCCACCTAGTCCAGCATCCTGTCTCACACAGTGGCCAACCAGTTCCTCTGGAGGGCCAGCAACAGGGCAGAGAGGCCGAGGCCTTCCCCTGACAAGAACATCAGAAGAGCCCTGCTGGATCAGACCAGTGAGGGTCCATCTAGTCCAGCATCTGGACTCACACAGTGGCCAACCAGTTCCTCTGGAGGGCCAACAACAGGGCAGAGAGGTTGAGGTCTTCCCCTGAGAAGAACATCAGAAGAGCCCTGCTGGGTCAGACCAGGGAGGGTCCACCTAGTCCAGCATCTGGCCTCACACAGTGGCCTCAACCAGTTCCTCTGGAAGGCCAACAACAGGGCAGAGAGTCCGAGGCCTTCATAAGAACATCAGGAGGGCCCTGCTGGATCAGACCAGTGGTCCATCTAGTCCAGCCTCCTGCCTCACACAGTGGCCAACCAGTTCCTCTGGAGGGCCATCAACAAGCCATAGAGGCTGAGGCCTCCATAAGAACATAAGAGCCCTGCTGGATCAGACCACTGAGGGTCCATCTCGTCCAGCCTCCTTTCTCACACAGCGGCCAGTCAGTTCCTCTGGACAGCCAACAACAGGGCACGGAGGCCAAGGTCTTCCCCTGATGTTGCCTTCTGGCTCTGGGATTCAGAGGCTTAGTGCCTCTGAATGTGGAGGTTCCCTTTAGTCACCATGGCTAGTAGCCACTGATAAGACCCCCTCCTCTGAGAACCGGTCTAATTCCCCCTGTGAGGATCCTTGTCCCATAGCCTCATTGCTGCCTTTCACTGAATATGTCCTGGGCCTTACTGGTATGTTGAGTACAGGGGCATCGGCGGTACTGGAGGTTGAGACCCCAGGCCAATAACAGGCTTGTGAAGCCTCAGTTTGCCTTGTGGTCATGCAAGGAAGGGGAGCGAAACCACCACCACTCGGTTTCAGCATTTGAAACGGGGTCCCTTGGCTTATGACTAACCTCTCCAAGGATAAAAAATGCGCACCTTTGAAAACATTGTTGCTGTTCAGTCGCACAGTCGAGTCCGACTCTTTGCGACCCCATGGACCAGATCACACCAGGCCTTCCGGTCTTCCGCCATCCTCTGAAGTTTGCTCAACTTCATGTTCGTTGCATCTATGACACTGTCTAACCATCTCATCCTTTGCCGTCCCCGTCTTCTTTGACCCTCAATTGAAAACATGCATTACCCCCCATCCCTTTGAAATGTTAACAACAAAGTTGTTTTGGGCACCACATTTTAGGAAGGATGTCGACAAGCTCGAGCGTGTCCAGAAGAGGGCAACTGGGATGATGAGAGGGTTGGAATCCCTGAAAGAATTTGATATGTTTCGCCTGGGAAAGAGAAGGCTTAGAGGGGACAGGATTGCAGTCTTCAAGTATTTGAAGAGCTGTCATGTAGAGATGGAGCGGATCTATTCTCTCTTGCTCCAGATTGCAAGACATAAGAACATAAGGGTGTTGGCGAAAGGCCCATCCAGTCCAACACTCTCTGTCACACAGTGGCCAAAAATACCAGGTGCCATCAGGAGGTCCACCAGTGGGGCCAGGACATTAGAATCCCTCCCCCTGTTGACCCCCCCCCCCAAGCACCAAGAAGACAGAGCATCACTTGCCCCAGAGCCCCTATCTATACCTTGTGGCTAAGAGCCACTGATGGACCTCTGCTCCATATGCCTATCTAATTCCCTTTTGAAGCCGTCCATGCTTCTAGGTCTAATGGGTGGAAACTACAAGGGAGTCGTTACCGGCTAAATATCAGGAGAAACTTCCTAACGGTCAGAGTGGTTGAGCAGTGGAACAGACTGCCTCGGGAGGTGGTGGGTGCTCCTTCGCTGGACGTTTTAAAGCGGAGACTGGACGACCATCTTTCGGGTATGTTGTAGGGCTGTCTTTCGGCTGTGCTCCTGCAGAGTGCGGGGGGTTGGACTAGATGACCTGCAAGGTCCCTTCCAACTCTAACATTCTATGATTCTAAGGGGGGCGTCCAAAAAGCAGAGCCGAGTGGCAGTTGAAGGGTTAAACACCCCTTTCCCTTCTCTGCAAGGCCCTATGGCAAATTGCGGCTGCAGGATCCTGCAATGCTTTCTGTAGACCAAGGAATTAGATGCGGGAGGAGCAGAGAGCACCAAAGGCATTCTCAGCCCCCATGCTGTCGTGCTGCCTTGATGGAGACACCTGGGCACAATCTTTAGGAGGTTGTCGGTACCAGGTTCGATTCCAGACAGCAGGGCCAAGAGAGATACCTTTCAGCTACCTCAGCGAGTTTCTGCGACTCAGAATAAATAGTACTCCTCCGATTCAACAGAAAGCAGCTTCTCAATATAAGGGAACGGCGTGGCACACTCATGGCTCAGCTCGACATTCAGAGGACCTCCGATAGCTAGGGTTTCCAACCTCCAGGCAGGGCCTGGAGATCCTCTGGAATTACAACAGAACTCCAGATGATAAGAACATAAGAACATAAGAGAAGCCAATGTTGGATCAGGCCAAAGGCCCATCCAGTCCAACACTCTGTCACACAGTGGCCAAAAATACCAGGTGCCATCAGGAGGTCCACCAGTGGGGCCAGGACACTAGAAGCCCTCCCACTGTTGCCCCCCAATCACCAAGAAGACAGAGCATCACTTGCCGCAGCCTGAGTGTTCCTATCTCTGCCTTGTGGCTAATAGCCACTGGTGGACCTCTGATCTTAACATAAGAACATTAGAGAAGCCAATGTTGGATCAGGCCAATGGCCCATCCAGTCCAACACTCTGTGTCACACAGGGGCCAGAAATACCAGGGGCCATCAGGAGGTCCACCAGTGGGGCCAGAACTCCAGAAGCCCTCCCACTGTTGCCCCCCCCCCCCAAGCACCAAGGAGACAGAGCATCATTTGCCCCAGAGCCCCTATCTATACCTTGTGGCTAATAGCCACTGATGGACCTCTGCTCAGTTTTTCTTGGAGAAAACGGCGACTTTGGAGGGTGGGCTGTATGGCGTTATGTCCCGCTGAGACCCTCCCCAACCACCGCCTTCCCCAGGCTCCGCCCCCAAATTCTCCAGGAACTTCCAACCCTGGAGTTGGTAACCCTGTAACAGGACTGGGACCAACCTCTCCCAAGGCCCGTGCTGAGCAGGTCATTGACTCCACACAGCAGCCAGCTTCCGATTTCCACCCGGATCTCGGGTTGCGCATGCGGAGCCAAGACATTCCGAAGAATTAAAAGACAAGAAAATCCTTCCCGGGAGATGTGAACTGCCCCCCACCCCCCCACCCCCCTGTGAATCTGCAACTCACCGAGGTGGGCCATCAGTTCGTCGGACGTGATCACTTCTTTCTGGGGGGTCAGCTTGACCTGCGAGAAAAGAGGCGTCGGGGAGAATTCAGTCTCTCCTTGGGGTATCGGAGGCAGCTGGTCTCGGGACCAGTCGGGAAGGATGGATCTGCTGCTGAAAACCCACTCTGGATTTCACACCTGGGACCTGTTCTCTGCAGACAGCATTTGTGCATGGTCCCAGACAGTGTGCGAGCTATACTTTGCAGCAGGGGTCATTCCCTGCAGGAGCGCACAAGAGCGGAGCTCCGGCAGTAAAGAGCCCAGGGGGTGGGCACATGCAACAAGCCCCACCCCCTGCTCCCAGCAGCCCTCAGTCAGAGCAAGAAGCAGCCAGGTGAGCTGCAGAGCCCTCCCGGTCCAAAACAGTCCAGTGGCACCTTGAAGACCAAGTTTTATTCAGGCACAAGCTCTCCCTCCTCTGCGAGGACAGATCTGCACATTCCCCCCCCCCATAGCTAGGAATCCAAAACAGTCCAGTGGCACCTTGAAGACCAAGTTTTATTCAGGCACAAGCTCTCCCTCCTCTGCGAGGACAGATCTGCACATTCCCCCCCCCCATAGCTAGGAATCCAAAACAGTCCAGTGGAGCCTGAGCGGTGGGTGGTGCCTTCTGACACACTTCCGGCGATGTCAGGGGGTGTGGCATATGCAAATAAGCTATGCTAATGAGTTATGCTAATGAGCTCCAGCGCCTCTTTTTCTACTAAATGAACCCTGCTTTGCAGGGAAAAGACCAGGGGCGCCGCCGCAACGCTCCCTCTAAGCTGTGGAGTCTTGTGAGCAAAAACTGTACTTTGTCAGCTACCGGCATTAAAATTGTGACTGGGGGATTTGGCCACTGCATCAATTAGTTTGCTCTGGAGCCGTCCTTCCTGAGCGGAGGCAAAAATGTGTGCGCCGGAGGCTAAAACACTGTGAGCTGGCTCACGCTGACTCAGCTTAGAGGGAAGACACCAGTGCCGGCCTCCAGGTGGGACATGGGGATCCCCCCAGAATTAAGGCTCATCTCCAGAATTCAGAGATCAGTTCCCCTGGAGAAAATGGCTGCTTTGGTGGGTGGACTCTACGGCATTCTACCCCACTGATTTCCTTGTCCTCCCCGGGGCTCCATCCCCCCAATTCGGATCTATTTTTATTCAGGGCTATTTTGGGGCAGGAACGCACAGGGACGGAGTTCTGGCCGGCTCCAAAATTGGCCACGCCTAGCAGGAGCTCATTAGCATAACAGGCCACACCCAACAGCAGAGACTCATTAGGATTGGCTACCTTAGGGGTGTGTGGCCTAACATGCAAAGAAGTTCCTGCTCCAAAAAAAAGGCCCTGGGTTTTGACCACAAACAAGGTAAACAGAATAACAAGCAAAAGGTGGGTGTGGCTGGATGACCACACCTCTGGTAACATGGAGGCCTAATATGCTAATGAGCTGTATTGTCAGGCGTGTGGCCTAATATGCTAATAAATTTTTGCTGCTGGGTGTGGCCTGTTGTGCTAATGAGTTCCTGCTGGGCTTTTTCTACAAAAAGAGCCCCGTTTTTATTGATTCATTTTGGCTCACATTCCGCCCTCCCTGCGAACGGGCCCAGAGCCGATGACAACGAAAGTTAAAACATTCCACAGTAAGAATCTAGCACCTTTCCCCCCCCCATCTCCCGCCGGGGGGACCTAGCAACCCAAGGAAAGACGGGACTAATATTTAAACAAGAGTTGCAGGAGGCCGTTCAACGCACGGCAGGATCCTGACATGGCAAATCGCTTTGCGTTCGTATAGCAAAACTAAATGGTGGATCAGCGGACAATCCCACCCCGCAAATATTTCTAAAAGTTCACAGAATGTTCACATGTACTGGCTGCCTTCCGACCTCATAGAAACTCAACGCAGCTTATGATGTCAATGACAACGAAGTACAATGAAACACATAAAAACCACTAGTTAGAATCCGTCAATTAGCCCCTGGGATTCACTGCCGCGGGAAGTGTCCTCTCACTCTCTCAACATGGCCTTCCATGGCGGCGGCTACAAGCACACACAGCTTCAAGAGGGTATTGGATAAACGTATGGCATATCACATGCATGGGAGTATGAGGGACCTGTAGAGACATGTGTCTCCATGGAAGGCCATGTTGAGAGAGTGAGAGGACAAAGGGAGAGGAGGGGGTCAGAGGGCAGCTCCCGGGTCAAGACAAAGAGAAGCATCTCACTCTAGGAGAGAACACCTGTCCAGTGTTCCCTCTAAGCCGAGTGTGAGCCAGCTCACAGTTTTTTTAGCCTCTGGCTCACACACTTTTATCTTAGCTCAGGAAGGGAGGGCTCCAGAGCAAACTAACTTACGCAGTAGCCAAATGGCTCGCTCACAACTTTAATGCCGGCAGCTCGCAAAGTAGGATTTTTGCTCACAAGACTCCACAGCTTAGAGGGAGCATTGCCCCTGTCCACTTAAGAGTGATGTGGCATCCCTCCAATGTCCAGGCATGCTGGGTCACTCCCTCCAACAGAGCCTGCACTTTCGGGTGAAGAAGTTTCTTTGTTCTTTGGGACACCCTCTGCCTTGTTTGTGGGCTCTGAGGTCCTTTGGACAGTTTCCTGAAAGGATTTAGAGGAGTCTCTTGTTGTTTATTACCACTGAATTGTCATGCCTAAGAAGAAGAGGAAGAGATTGGATTTATACCCCGCCCTTCACTACCCAAAGGTGTCTCAGGGCGGCTCACAAACTCCTTTCCCTTCCCCTCCCCACAACAGACACACCCTGCGAGGTAGGCGGGGGCGAGAGAGCTCTCCCGAGGACTGCCCTTGAGAGAACAGCTCCGAGAGAACTTGTGACTGACCAAGGTCACCCCAGCAGCTGCCATGCGGAGAAGTGGGGACTCAAACCCGGTCCTCCCGGATTAGAGTCCGCGCACTTAACCACGACACCAAACTATGCTTGTCATACTTAGTATTCGTCTTTACTTATGAATTGTGACCATGGTCTTTGAATTGTGACCACCAGTTCTACTTTATGTATTGATGTAACGTTACCGTGTTTCAATAGACTTGTGTCTGCTGGCAACTTGTGAAATCTGTATATCTGTTGATGGTCTACCCGCAGGGGTCGTTTCGTAGAAAAAGAGCTAGGGGACTCATTAGCATAACTCATTAGCATATGCCACACCCCCTGACATCACCGGAAGTGTGTCATAAGGCCACACCCCCTGACATAACCGGAAGTGTGTCATAAGGCCACACACCC